CTAAGGTCTAACATTTATCTTTTCTAGTTCTGCAATTGGTGCTGCCCCTTCGGGACCTTTGCTCATGCCGTTTCCTCTGCCAGGAAACCCCTCCCCGCCTCCCACACCCAACCTCTCAACCTTGCCGACCAACAGACTCGCATCGCCCATAACTCAGCTCAGAGGCACTTCCTCAGGAAAGCACCCCAAACATCCTTCTCCATCGCACTGGGCCTAGTGCTCCATCAGAAGCTCGTGAAGCACACTGTCCACCTCCTCATTGTGCTAAGCGATATATTCTGAAAAAAATCATCTAATTATACATGTCTAATTTAATGCATAATTTTTAAACTCAACTTTAACATCACAAATATATATACCAATTTATTCTGTCCTTTAAAAACATAGAAGATTAAGGGGAATTGTGGCGTTTGTTTGACCACTGCCTGCTCCCTCCCCCAAGTCCAGGCCCCAACCCCCACCCCTGGGTAGTGCCGCTGTTGGGAGCATAGCGTCATCAGCCTAGTGGTTCAGAGCTTGGGTTTCGGAGCCACACTGTCAAGGTGTCATTCCTGGTGTTCCTGCTTCACTTGAGCAAATCACTTAACCTTTCTCTGTCTTACTATTGTCAAGGATTAATGATAGTAACTAACCCTGGCTGGTGTGGCTCGGTGGGTTGGGCTTCATCCTACAAACCAAAAGGTCAGGGGTTCGATTCCTGGTCAGGGCCTGGGTTTTGGGCCAGGTCCCCAGGTTGGAGGTACGCAAGAGGCAACTGATCAATGTTTCTCTCGTGCATCAATTATCTTCTCCCTTTTTCTTCCTCCTTTCCCTCTCTCTAAAAATAAATTTTTAAAAATTATAATAGTAACTAATAGTGTAGTTTAAAGATTTCAAAAAATATTTACATGAGATGTTCCGTGGGGAGCGATCAGGCTTTCCTGGGCAGCCGAAAAGACTTTTTGTTTCAGCTTGGAAAAGGGCGGGTCTTGAGTCTTTTCAGCCTCCATAAGTTCATGAGCCTGTTTTTTTTTTTCTTTAAAGATTTTATTTATCTATTTTTAGAGAGAGGGAGGGAGAAAGAGAGGGAGAGAAACTTTGATGTATGAAAGAAACATCAATCAGTTGCCTCTTACACACTCCATGACCCGGAAAAGGCCCACAACCCAGGCATGTGCCCTGATGGGAATTGAACCAGCGACCTTTCACTTTGTGGGACAACACTCAAGCAACTGAGCTGCGCTGGGCAGGGCAGCAGCCTTATTTCCTGTATAGGAAATCTGTCTGTCTGTCTGTCTATCCAGCCATGCTATTGGTTCTGTTTCTCTGGAGAATCCAAATACACTGTAATACATAGATTATATAGCGTATTGTTTTGTGTTTTTAAAAATACAAATGGCATCACATTGCAGGTAGCATTTGGGAACTGACTGTTTTTACTCAGCAATATGTTTTTGAGATCTTGCATGTTCATACATATAGGTTTAATTCTGGCTCATTCTTTTAAAATGTTGCGGATTAATAATAATGCGCTATATGAACGTATCACATTTTATTACTTCATTTCAATATTGATATTCCATAGATACTGCATTTGGAATCCCTTCCAATTTTGATATTATAAGCAGTATTGCAATGGATATTTATATACACCAAGGGTTTGCTGCAATAATAAAAAAAGTGGCTTTCTAGATTAAATATCAGGAAGTAGAATTGATAGAGCATAGATTACATGTATTTTCACTTTAAATGGTTTTGATGAATCACTCTCCAAAATGTACTGATTTACATATCCCTCCCCATCAGGAATATTAAAAAGGCACTTTCTACCTGAAGCTTTCTACCTGAAGATGATGGTGATATTCTTTTTTTTTTTTTTTTTGGCCCATGACTGAGAAAATAACTTTATTTTGTTTGGGGGTGCAGGCAGGCCTCCAGTCTCAGAGCTTCTGGAACTGCTCCTTGGTGCCGGTGGCCTTGGTGACCTTGAGCACATTGAAGTGCACAGTCTTGTTCAGGGGCCGGCACTCACCCACTGTGACGATGTCGCCGATCTGGATGTCTCTGGAGCAGGGGGACAAGTGCACTGACATGTTCTTGTGGCACTTCTGGAACAGTTGTACTTTCAGATGTAGTAGAGGTGGTCTCGGTGGATGACTGTGGTCCTCTGCATCTTCATCTTGGTCACCGCACCAGACAAGATGTACCCTCAGATAGAGACATTACCAGTAAAGGGGCATTTCTGGTCAACGTAGGTGCCCTGATGGCTTCCTTGGGCGTCTTGAAACCCAGACCGATGTTCTTGTAGTATCGCGGGAGCTTCTCTTTGCCAGTTTCTCCAAGAAGGACCCTCTTCTCAGCACGCTCCATCTAAATATCCACCATCTTTGCAGCCTCCTGAAAAAAAGCTAATGGTGATATTTTTTACTCAATGTATCATTCCCAAATGCTACCCATAATATGACACATTTATATTATTTATTTATATTTTATTTTAAAAAGATTTTATTTATTTATCTTTAGAGGGGAAGGGAAGGAGAGGGAGAGAAACATCAATGTGTGGTTGGTTGCCTCCCATGTGTCCCCTGCTGGGAACTGGCCTGCAACCCAGGCATGTGCCCTGACTAAAAATTGAACCGTCGTCTCCTGGTTTGCAGGCCCTCGCTCAATCCCCTGAACTATACCAGCCAGAGCACATTTATATTTTTTAAATGGTGACAGTATTCTAAAAGTTTTGGCTGTACTCTTTTTTTTAATTTAGAATTGTAAACTTGAATTTATTTTTATATATGGTATGAAGTAGGGATTAATTTTTTCACAAAAGTTAATTCGATTTTCTAATTCTATTCTATCCTTATCTATGTATGCGCACCAATACCACCTGTTTTAAAGTTGCAGCTTTACAATACGTCTTTTGAATGGGTAAGGCAAGCTTCTAACCCTACCACTTGTTCTTTCGAAAAGGGCTATTGTTGCACATTTACATATACTATAAAAATCCCGAGATAGTATGTGTCTATATGTCTGTGTGTTTACTATTGTTTTTTTCCATTAGAATAAAAGTTCCATGAAGGCTTTTTTTGTTTGTGTTATTCACCAGCATATCCTCAATACCTAGAAAAGGGGCAGACCCATAATAGGCCCTCCGAAAGTTTTGTTAAGTGAAAAAATAAACATGAACTTTAGAAGCATCCTATTCTAAGTCCTATGAAGAGTCATTTGGGCAGTATTTTGATTGGCGTTGCATTGAAGTTTTAAATTACTTTGGAGAGAACTGACATCTTTGCAATGGTAGTCATGCCATTGTCGAACACAATACGTCTCTCCATTTATTGGGACTTTTTCTGTCTTTCAATATAATATTTTTGTTTTCTTCACAAAGAAAGATTTTCATATATTTCTAATTATTGTATTCCTAAATATGTCATAGTTTTTGTGACTGTGGTGAATGGGATTTTAAAAATTGTTATCACATTTTCAAATTGTTATTGCTGATGTATAGTTATTTTTATGATTTTATTTATTTTTAGAGAGAGAAGAAGGGAGGGAGAAAGAAAGGAAGAGAAACATTTCTGTGTGAGAGAAACATCACTTGGTTGCCTCTTGCACGCCCCCAACCTGGCCCGCAACCCAGGCATGTGCCTGGACAAGGAATCAAACCAGCAAATTTCTGATTTGTGGGACAAACCACTGTGTCACACCAGTCAGGGCGATAGGAAAGGTCTTGATGTGTAAATATTGATCCAGCACCCTGACACTTTGCTGAACTCACCAGTTATTGCTCTATTTTCCGGGTAGACAATCACATCATAGTGATTAATGGCAATCCAGCCTCTTCCATTCCAATTTTTAAACCTTAAGTTTGCTTTTAATGTCTTATTGCACTAATTGTAACTGCCAGCATATTGTTGAAGTGTATATTGATTCATTTCTGGGGTGTATCATTCAAGACAGGTCAAGGGGTGCTGCAGTAACAAATGACCCCCAAATCTGGTGGCTTAACCCAATCAAAGATCATTACTCACACCTCCCACCCAACACAAGCCATGGAGCAGGGAGGAGTTCTTTACTGTTGTTTCTCAGAGACTCCGGCTGATGGAAGCTCTGTGTCCCCATGGACACGTGCTTCCATGAAAACTGTGACAGAAGGAAGGGGCGGGGAATTACGGACTGGCTTTTGGAGCACCTGCCCTGAAGTAACTCATGTTCTGCCCACTAGCACTTCAAAGCAAGTTCCGTGGCCAAGCCTGACTTCCACAGGGGATGAGAGAAGTGTGACCCAGCAGAAGGACACAGGACCAGGGGATGCTTCTAGTGTAAGCTTCATTGTGTATGCTCTTTTCTAGATGATCGCCCTTTGTCAAGTTAAGGAGTAAATTCACGAGTTTGTTTAGATTTTAATCCTCACCCAAGGATATGTGTTTATTGATGAGAGAGAGAGAGAGAGAGGCATTGGTCTGTTACCTCCCTTACTGAACCCCCACTGGGGACAGAACCCCCCAACACTTCCATGTATGGAATGACGCCTCAGCTCTGAGCCACTGGTCCAGGGCTGAGTTTGTTTAGATTTTGTTAAATGAAGAGTTTGTCGGTATCATTCAGGAATGTTAAACTTTATCAAATGATTTTATGTTCTTTGATGCACAGACATTCTTTTTCTCCCCTAATTTGTTGAGGCACTTATATGTGTAAGTGCCTCATAAGTTTTTCTGCCCAGAACATTCTCCTCGGACTGCCCTCTCCAAGTACTTTTTTTGGTTCATTCCTTCTCATTTCTCAGAGCTCATTTCATTCATTCAGCAAATATTTATTGAGCAATACGATGCACCGGACGCGCTTCTCCCAATCCTGGCCCCTTCCTTCCTTCCTTCCATCACGCCCGGCTCCACCCGCTGCAGAAGCTACGACTTTAAGGGCCGGCAGAAGCCGAGCTGGGCGCCGATTGGTGGTTTATTCTAACGGAGGATGAGCTCATCTGCAGCCAATGGCCGGCTGCACCGGGCCAGAAGCCTGCTCTTGGCTGGAGGGCGCAAAGCCCAGGCCCGCAGCGCACGGTGCCCCGCGGAGGCGAAGGGTGAGTGGCCGCACCTTGGCCACGCGGACTGAGTTCTGGCTCCCGCAGGTACGGTGTCCGCCGGGCTCCTCACCATCCCCGCCCCAGGCCCCTCCCCTCATTCCCGTAGCCGCCTCCTTGGCCTGATCCCCCGCGGGCGGTGCCCCAAGCGCACCTGGGACTCACAGGCTGGACAGGAGGCTTTCTGAGACGGCGAGCGCCCATGCGGCTCTCTTCTCATAGCACCGGCCCCGGGGGTAGGCGCTGGCCCCTTAAGTCAGGGCCTGACTCAAGCAGCCCAACCCATCGGCCTTGGCACCCCCAGCACAGGGCTCAGGGCTGCAAGTCCAGGGTTATGTGGCTGGACTAAGTCCCTTCCTCCACCTCCTGGCCGCATGCTGGCCAGGGTACAGCTCCCCGCTGGCCCTGGGATGTTGGTTTCCCTTCCCGCCCCACTCCCCATCCCATTCTCTCCAGAGGCAGATGTGGCCTATGGCTGGACTTTGGCCTGTTGGCCCGGCCCTTCCCAATGGGTCTTGAGGAGGCAAAGGTGCCTGTGCAGTGAGGGGCAGAGGCAGCTCTGCCGGCCTCTCTCTGAGTGCTTTGCTTTGCAGCAGCCACTTCTCAGTCCCTTTGGCCACTTGTGTTACACAGTGCTGAGGAAGGAGCGGCTGTCAGGTCCTTGGAGGCCACGTGGCCTCCTGGCCTCAGAGACAGAGCCAGGAGGACAGAACCATCCTCTCCCGAAGGCTGGGCTGGTCCTGCCCTCCTTCCCCTAATTCTATCCAGAATCTGCCATTCAGACATTTCATTTGTCCACAGGCTTTAAGGGCCTGGCCTTGTGCCCAGCTCTTTGCTGGGCCCTGTGGGAGTCCCCCCTCCTGACCACACTGCCCTCGGCACTGGGGGAAACAAAGGGGCGATTCGTCCTGGTTGGAACTGAACCATGAGGGATTAAGTGAGGTTCCTGTTGGAGAAGCCGGTGGGGAGGGACAGGCAGGATGGAGGGGACAGTGTGAGGAGTGGCCCCTGAGCCTGGGGCTCCTGCCTCAGCCTCAGACTGTGTGGCTCTGTATGTTTACCGTGTGCTAGACGCCGATTTGCTCTATGCCTTACGAAGGCAGCTCTAGGTCTGGAACATCTTCAGCTCTCTCCAGTGCTCAACACGTAGTGAGTGCTCGAGAAATACTTGTTGAACTGAATATGAATTGAAGGGAGGAGCTCCAAGCATGCTGTTATTCTGTTACTACCACTTAGGAAAGACCTGGCTCCGTGAAAGGACTTTACCCACATTAGCTCTGACCCTTCCGTCCTTGGAGGTGAGGGTTAGTTTCTGAATGTTTAGTGGAGGAAACCAGGGTGCAAGTGGGATATTGTTGCCAGCTGGGTCCTCCCTAATGCATTTGTTCACTGCCAGGTCACACCTGCGGGGCAGCAGCCATGAGCCTGGTGGCCTGCGAGTGCCCACCTGGGCCTGGGCAGGAGCCTGAGCCCTGCTCACGGGCACAGTCCCAGGCACGTGTGTACCTGGAGCAGATTCGCACCCGAGTGGCTTCAGCAGCACCCGACGTGACCAAGCGTGACTACCTGGTGGACGCAGCCACGCAGATCCGGCTGGCCCTGGAACGTGACGTCAGTGAGGACTACGAGGCAGCCTTCAACCACTACCAGAATGGTGTGGACGTCCTGCTACGAGGCATGCACGGTGAGTGCTGGGCTGGCCAGGGACAGGGGCTGGTGGGGGGCCAACTTGGAGCTCGTCCCTCCGTCTACCCATCCGTGCTGGGTGAACGGCTGACGGGGCCTCCGTGCAAGACAATAATAGTAGCCAGTGTTTACCGAGCAGTTCCTGTACGCCAGGCCCTGGTTTACCTGTGTCTGCTCATTCACCTGTGTTAACCCATTTGGGCCTCGTGGTAATAGAAGACAGTACATGTGTCATTGCGTGTAGTTCCAAGTATGTAGCAACTATGTTTATTTCTATTTTCCAGATGAGGAAACTGAGGCACAGGGCATTTAATAGCTTGCTTAAGTTTTCCTAGGTACCAAGTGGCAAAGCTGGGCTCCAGAGGCGGTGTGCTTAACCCACGCTGCTGCCCTGCCCCCACTCTGGCCTTGCAGGGCTGGGGTTGGGGCTGCCATTGCCTGCCCTCCACCCTCCATAGAACACAGAGCCCATTTCTGAGGCAGCTCAGTGATTCTGACTCCACATCTGTACTTGAGCCCCTCCTCTGGGTGGAGACCAGCTTTGGGGGAAGGGGGTTGCCAGGGCTGGGCCCTGGCAACCCCCTTCCCTCCACAGTCGACCCCAACAAGGAGCGATGCGAGGCTGTAAAGCTGAAAATCACCAAGTACCTGAGGCGGGCAGAGGAGATCTTCAACTGCCACCTGCAGAGGACCCTGGGCAGCAGCACCAGCCCCGGCACGGTGAGTGGACCCCTCCCCAAGGACCTGAGGGCTGAGTCCCCCACCCCAACGGGCCAGTGGGCTATGTCATGGAATTCTGGGCTGCAGGGTAGGGCTGCAAGGGTGTGTACTGGGACTGCCTTTTCCCCCTCCTCCTTTTGGCTTCCTCTCTCTCCCACGCCCTCCAGAGTTGGTTCATTTTCAAACACTTAGTGAATCATCACCAGTCCAGTCTCACCCACCCACGGAGTCCACACACATCTCCTCACCCCCACACATGGCTCGTACCCAAGCTCTCATGAGTGCGTACTCCAGGGCTCCCAGAGTTTCTGTCTGAACGGGCCTCCGTGAGCATTTGGGGCAGACACAAATACCCCCACGTGCACATGCACACACACGCCCACATAGGCACGCACAAATGCTCTCCCCGTATGGCTTTTCCTGACCCGATGGGCACTCCTCACAGGGGTTGGAAAATGCATGTGCGCTTCTCATGCCCACAGGTGTGTACACTCACGCACACACACCCCTCCTGGGTTCACTGCATATGGCAAGGCAAGGTCCTTGGTCTTTGAGGCAGGTTCCCTGAATCCACATGTTCCTGGGTTATCTCCCCACCCCTGGGGTCACCTGCCTCTTGCCGATGGGGCATCCAAGAGGTAGTTTCTGAGACCTTAAGAACTCCCTGAACCTTGGTGAGGGGCTGGGTGGGGGCTAAGTAAAAGAGGGCAGTGTGCCCCAGCCCCGCCTCCATCAGGCCCAGCTTCTCTGCTCAGCCTTCCCCTGTGAGGTGAGGCTGGACCATACCCCATTCTTGCCCACTCCCTGTGCTCTCTGGCTGCTGGAGATCCGCCCCTGCCCGGGGAGAAGCAGTGGCTGAGGAGGGTTGGGCCCTGAGGCTGTGTGGCCTTTCTCCCACCTCTGCAGGGTTTCAGCAGCCTGAGGCTCCGGCCCATCCGCACTCTGAGCTCTGCCCTGGAGCAGCTGAGGGGCTGCAGGGTGATCGGGGTCATCGAGAAAGTGAGTAAGCAGAGCCTGCGTGTGGGAGGAGATGGTGTGTGTGATTGGGGGTGACATGTGGGCAGAGAGAGCAGCTACCCCCAGTCCTTCAGAGGGGGATGGGAAGGGGTCGGAGAGCAGCTTTGCCCAGTGACTCCCCATCCCTCGCTACCCCAGCACGCACCAGTCAGGTCACGGAAAGGAAACCAGAAAGGCAGGAGGCAGACAGCCCCTGTCCACAGCCCTCCAGCTCAGGCACAGGAAACCGCTTCCTTAGAGACTCAAGGCAGAAGCCACAGGAGATGCTGTGCCCGGGGCATCCTGCCAGCACGTTGCCTGGTTCACTCTCACTTCCCGCAGGTCCCTCCCCCACACCCACTCTGCACCCCAGGGCTGCAGTCTAGAGTCCCCCCAGGGAGCATAGCCGAGAAGTTCTTATGGTGGGAAGATGACCATCTCCAGAAACCTGCCCTGCAGAGTATCCAAACTGGCCTGCGCCTTCCGGGGCCTTAGCAACCGTGCCCTTTCCCTCCTGGCCCCACCCCCTCCGGACCCCATCTGGGGCCCTTTCCCTTAATTTTCCTGTCTTCCTGTCTGACCCCTTCCCAGGGCAGACAGGAAGACAGAAACTGACATCCCAGCCTGCACCTGGGACACTTGGTACAGAGGAGGAATCAGGAGGACAGACAGTTGGGTCAAATGATGTTAGAACCTGTGCAAATTTCTGTGACTTTCATTTGAGCCACACTGACAATCGCCAGGAAGCAAAGTCTCAGTGGATTGAGAAAATGTTCCCCCAAGTGACAGTTTTACCACTTATTTTACACACCAGGTTCAAAAGGGAAGACATAAAGGTGTCGCATGAAATTCCCTGGGGATGGACGAGGGAGGCAGGAGAAAGCAAAGCGGGAGCATCCCTGGGAGTGGATAGAAAGTTAAACAGGGGGACGCCCTCTTGTGCCACATCGGAGGGTACAGGGCAGTCAAGTAACACGCACAGGACGTGGAGATGGTGTGCGGGGGCCGAGATGACAACCAGGGCTTCTGTGGTCTCGGGCTCTGGTTTGAGGCTGTGCTCTGAGGGGTCTGGAGAAGGAGGTCACTCTGACATTTCGGAGTTATGTTACCTTAGATGCACGAAGACACGCTGCTCACTTAGGTAAGACTGACTGTTGCCAAGGAGGCCATAGGCCCAGGACATGCCCGCCCGCCCGCCACGACCCGCTTTCCATTAGGAATGTCGGTGGTCAGGCCGTCCTCTGCGGTTACTTTGGGCCTCTGAGTTTGTAGGGCCCGCAAGACTGGCCTCCCCTGAGCTGGTCAGGTTTACTGCGTGGCCCCCTTTTTGTCTACAAAGCCAACATTCAATTGTCCTCTGCCCCAACCGAGGGCTACCGGAGCAGTCACTGAAGCTGTTCTTTCTCAAACTGGCTGTTTATCAGAACCGCCTGGAGCGCGTCCCCAAAATACAGATGCCTGGGCCCCACTCCAGGCCTTTAGAGCCAGGAATCTGTAATTGAAACACTCATGCGGGGATTTCGATGGCTCTGGAGGCCCCAGAGAGGAGGCCAGCGTGTGCGTCCACACACGCCAGAGGACAAAGTGCCGTCTGAGCAGAGCACAGTGAGGCCAAGGGCAAGTCCTTTCACCTCGCTGGGCGCTTGTTTCCTCGCCTGTCAGTGGGGTGAGAGCCCTCGCGCTGCGGGTGATGTGGGAACAAAAATGAGATAATTTTGGGGAAAGGCTTGGCACATGCTAGGACGTTTGTTGGTTACTGGCTAGTAACCAGCGCCAGTCGGGAGGCAGGCCGGCTTCCCATCCCCCAGTTTGCTCCAGCTGCTACTCTCAGCTCCCTGGAATGGGCCCCGTCTGTCAGCAAGGCCCAGCCAGCCTCCATCCGAGCCGCCGGCCCTGCCTTCCCACCGACGGGTCCAAGTGGTGTGGACAGGCTGGGGAGGGGACCGCCATCACCATTTCCCCCACCCAGGACCCCACTGAACCAGGGGTGCTGTGGAGAGAGGCCTTCCAGGAGAAACAAGTTTGGGAAATAGTGAGTTAAATTAAATTACTTTGTTTTTTAAAGTTATAGGAATTTTTGGAGCTTTTAGGATGCAGATGTACGCCTTGAGTCTCCAAGAGGGAGGTCTGAGACAGACGCGCCCTCATTGTTTAGCCCCGGGACACGCGTGTGCGCAGTTTTCAGAACCCAGTACCCTGAGTCCTGTGCAGATGGAAAGCAGCCATCTGTCTTGAGATGGCCTTCCTTTCCTTCTGTACCTTTTCTTGGGCATTCGGTTTACCACGCCACCTCCCTCCGGAGACCCTGCTTTCTTTTCCTGCGTCATTCCCAAGCAAGGAACACTCCTTTCCCCAAATTAGGAGAGGTGTTAGGGACACTGGGCCAAGGGCCCAGCAGCCGGGTCTAGGTGTGCAGTCAGTGTTCCAATCCTCAGCTCTGCCCAGGCAGATCCAGGTGGGAGGGCAGTGCCAGCCCAAGGTGGTGCAGAGCCAGGGAGGGGCGAAGGGCTGGCCCCGGAAGCCTTGAGTGCCCCCTGAGATGCCCAGCGGTCAGGAGCGACTGGGCTGGAAGAGGGTCTCTAGGGCCCGAAGAGGTACTGGCAGGCAGAGGGGGTGGCAGGGCACAGAGGGCGTTGGTCAGGGACTAGGTAGGCAGCTGGCCGTAATGCCCAGGGGTCTGCTCTCAGGGAACGGTCCGGCAGCCAGACTCTGAGTCAAGGCTGGGGAAGAAAAAGATCCTCCTAGTCACTTCTTGTTTTGTTTGGCTCAAACACAGGGATGTTGTTATTTTGTTTTGTTGTTTTTAATTACCAACATTTAAAAGTTGGCAGGTTTCACACAGAAGTCCAAATATTCTGCTTCTGCTGAAAAATCGAGATCTGGAAATGCTGGCTCAGGCTGCCTTGAAGCAGCAGGGAGCAGAGGCCAGCCCCCCGGTTTGCTCCCGTTCAGCCCTGCCCACTTGGCTCTCGGCCTGGCCAGGCCGCTGTGGACCTGGGATTTTACAGACCTGAAACTTTGGGGCTTGTTTGCTCTGTGAGAGATCCCTCCTGGGATTTTGATACTTTGGGCATTTTTAAAGAAAGGGTTAATGTGTTTCACCAAAGCTTTAATTGTCCTCACCTCCGGAGAACTCAGTGGGCCCTTTAAAAACTTTTCCCCCCCTTTTTAAAAAGGCGAGAGCCGACACCCAGAACTGCCTTCCACCGTCCCAGTTGCACTGTTCGTCAGGCGTATTGCTGTCTGCAAAGGTGCTGCACTGGACCTCCCAGGCCCCCAGGGAGAGGAGCGCCACTCCGCGCAGTCCAGTATGGGAGTCGCCGGCCACATAAGACTGTTTTGATGAAAGTCAATGAAAATTAAGCATTATGTTTCTCAGCTGTGCCAGCCACATTTCAAGGGCCTGATAGCCACACAGAGCTAATGTCTTCCATACTGGACGGTGCAGCTGTTTCTCCTTCACAGTTCCAGAAAGTCCGGTTGGACAGTGAAGCATTTTAATCATTGTCTTACAGGGAATTCAAGTGAGGTCCACAGAGGTCACGCAACTAGTGAGCAGTCTTGTCCCCCATGGCAACGAACAAAAGAGGAAGGGGATTTTTCTGTTTGCTCGGGTTAGTGGGAAAATGTCCACCCTTTGGAGATGTCCTGAAAGAGGAAGAAATTTAAAACAGAAAAAAATAAATTCCCCACCATCCTCCAAACTCCGAGATAATTACAGTTAATGTTTTGGTTTAATTCTTTCTAGCTAGGTAGGTTTTAATATACACATATATTTTAACCCGCTTGCTTCAGTGTTCTAGTCAAGTGTTCTTTCTCACTTCCCCGATTTCCCCTGGTGGGTTTTGGACTCTGAATGGTAGGGCCGTGCCCAGGATGAAGCGATAGGGAATCCCACTTGGCAAGGGGCGGTGGGGAATTATCTGGGTGTCAGGACTTGTGGGAAACGCTGTTCTCCTAAATGACCCCGGAGCGTTCTTTCCCAAGCACTGTGCAGATTTGGGGAAGGAGTGAGGCCCAGGCTGGGCTGTCTCTGACTGTTGGAGGAGAGACATCTGGTGGTCAGAAGGAGCCCCTCACTCCCCCCCAGGAAGGGCCCCTCAGTCCCCGTCTGGTCTTCACTTTACTGATGGTGGGGACTCCGAGGCCCAGAGGGGAAGGCATGTGCTGAAGTCAGTGGGCTGTGCCCCCCACCCCGTTGCCTCCCCGTTGGTCTGCAGGGCTCCTGGATCAGCCCACCTGGACTCAGATTCTGGCTGCGTCACTTTTTAGGAGTGGGACCGTAGCAGCACAACTTCTCTGAACCTCAGTTTCTTCATCAGTGAAATGAGTCAGCAGTAACACTCACCTAGTAGGTGGGACCAAACTTAAATAGTCCGTGTAGAGCATTTAGCACAGAGGAAGTGCTCTCTGGCCAGTACAAGGTTTCGTCATCTCCATCACTGCAGGTCATGGAGCGTGTGCCCGTGGCAGGCACGGTTCACTGCTCTATTTGCTTTGTCGGCTTTAACCGAGTCCTCCCGGTGACCTCCACTTGGGGTATCTCTAGAGCAGACCCCATCTTGCAGTTAAGAAAATAAGGCTCGGAGAGGTAGTGTCTTGGCAAATGTGGTAACGGGCATTCTCACAGCCTTCACACTGACAAAGGGCCTTCCCTCTTATGGCTTCAACAAGCCAGCGATGAGGGAAAGGGGGCATTTGTAACTGCTCTTTGGTAGACGAGAAAATCACTTCACTTGCCCAAGATCTCACCCCCATGCCGACCGTGGGCTACAGGCTTCACCACTGCCGAGCGGCCTGGCCTCAGGGCGGGGCTCCCACCCACCGCCGCCGGAAGTGTCTACAGGGCAGGCCAACCGCCAAGGGGTCCTCCCCCAACATCTGGGCCGAGTTGTCTGCTGTCCTGCCTTGACGTGCTCAGTGTGCCCTCTCCTGTGGCTGTGGTCCACCCCTGCCCACCACGAGATGAGTCAGTTCGGGACCCAACTTCGTACAAGGCCCCACCCCAGCGACTGGCAGACTACTGCCTCTGACCAAAACCAACAGCAGCGGGAGTGGGCTGCTCTCCAAAGACAGCCTCCAGAGAAGGACTGTAAAAGGAGTGGGCGGCTGGGCAGGCAACCTGAAACAGCACCCCGAGCCCGGGCATTCTGGGCACGGCTGGGCCCGTGGGTGGCCTGGGGCCACACTCTCTGACATCTGTCAAATGAAAGGTCAGGGAGGCAACTGGCTCTGAGGTCACTTCCATGCGTGACGGCCTCGGAGCCTGCAGGGCCGACCACTCGCCCTGTGTGTGAAGTGCTCGTGATGTCCTGTGATGTGCAGGCTTCGGAGACAGAGCTGGGCCATGGTTGCTGCCCCTCTGCAGCTCGTAGCGCAGTGGGGAGAAGGCATCAGACACATGGGATAGGTTCCCCTGGGGGGAGCCGAGACAGCCCTGGAGACAAAGGAGGAACCCCAGCCCAACCTGAGGGTTGGGAAGGCTTCCTGGAGGAGGGGGCATATGAGCTAGACCTGCAGGTTCAAGAAGGGTGAATGAACAGGACAGGATTGATGTCAGTTTGGGGGCCTGCCCTCCCTGCCCTGCCCCCAGAGTGAGTTGGCCTCAGTGGAGGAGCCTGGGGGGCTGGGGCCACAGAACCCCGGGAACTGGCATGTGCCTTAACCGATACCTCCTGGACCTTGGCAGGTGCAGCTGGTTCAGGACCCAGCGACTGGAAGGACCTTCGTGGTGAAGGCAGGTGCCGCCCAGCCCCCTACCACTCTGTATTCCCCTTGGGACCATCTCAGAGCTCTTGGAAACTCCTACCCTCTGGGGAATGCCCCGCCCAGAACCTGTATCTAAAGCCCATGGTCCCTCCAAATCCAAAAGCCACTTGCTTTCCCCCCGAGCATGTGCCCAGCCTCCCCTACACCCCACACTTATTGCTTCCTTGCCCCAGAGACCTGGGTGCCATAATGGAGACCAAGGTGAGGGCCAGGGCAGGGCCAGAGGGGAGGCAGCGGCTCCTGCCGGGGCTCCCGCCCCTCATCTGGTTGCCCCTGCAGCTGGAGCTCCTACCTCTGCCCTGCCCCCTCCTCAGAGCCTGTCCAGGTGTCACCTGGCGAGCCGGGAGCGGCTGACCATCATCCCGCATGGCGTCCCCTACATGACCAAGCTTCTGCGGTACTTTGTGAGTGAGGACTCCATCTTCCTGCACCTGGAACATGTACAAGGTAGGGGGCTTCTAGGGTGCTGTCCCCTTTCATCCCCTTTAAATGCCAAGACCTAGGGAGGGGGCGACTTGCACCAGGTGTGCTGCACAGAGCAGGGGCACAGCCTTGCGGTGGGGGGAGGGGAGGGGGCCTGCCGGGGGTCTCCGAATGGTGCTGAGCAGGCAGGGGCGTCCCAGGGAGGAGGTTCGCATCCTGGGTTGGCGAGAGGGCGTGTATGCAGGTGTCCCCTTTGTCGCCATGGCCTCCAGTCTTGGCTTTTTCCAGCTTTCTGGTCTGTGCCCGTCCCTCAGAGTGGCCCTGTGGGATGGTGGCTCTGAAGCTGTAAGGACCTGAACTGGGTCATGTAGCGAATATTCACTGATCGCCTTCTACGGCAATGAGTTTTTTTGTAACGAAGTGTACATCCTTGGTCATGATGTGCAGTCATCGCAGGCCCTTGCCTGGCCACCTTTTCTTTTACTTAAATTTCATTATACTATTCTCTCTTAAAAATTTTAAAAATATATGTCTGAAATCTGTTGAACACTGGTAAAACCACACCTGAATCAAGGACGTTAACAATACTTCACATCTCCTTAGGGGCCAAGCGCCTGTTTTGTGCCGGCTTGGGAGGATGGGAGCCCTCCGAGTGAGAGGGGAGGAGAGGTCGTTCCGGGTCGCGGCTCAGGGAAGGCAGAGGGTTGGCCATGGAGGGACAGGGACCGGGTGCCCACGCTCTACTTCTCCCCTGTCCCCGTGCTCGCTGCTCCCTCTGCACGGCCCAGGAGGCACGCTCTGGTCCCACCTGCTCTCCCAGGCACGCCCCCGACAGTCTGGGCTCAGGCCTGACTCCAGCCTGGAGAGGATGAAGGCTCAGCCCAACTCCCACCTCAGCTTCTGGACCCCGACGTTGCTGCCCCCGGGCCACACCCGCCTACAGGACAGAGTCTCCCTGGGGCCTCCTTGGACTTGTCAGAGCCTTCCCCCAGCCAGGGAGGCCTCACCCATCAGGCCCCGGAGAGAGGAAGAAAGTGAACCCTCAGCCAGAACCAGCACTTCCTGCTCGTTGGACCTTCTGAAGGCCCCAAGTGGCCGCCTGCACCTCCAGTCCCGGCGAGGACCTGGCCAGAACTCAGACACGGGGTCCCCTTGGGGGCTTAATTGGGTTCGTGAGGGGGCTGGCCGGGTGTTGGGGGGCTGTGGCCGCGGTAGAGGTCAGAGTCACCCCTCAGTGCACAAGGCCAGCCTGGGGCCTGGCGGGGGCGCCTGGAGTGTGAGGGAAGAGCAGGTCAAGCAGTGGGCGGCCGAGATGCTGCTGGCCCTGGAGGCGCTGCACGAGCAGGGGGTGCTGTGCCGGGACCTCAATCCCCGGAACCTGCTCCTGGACCAGGCAGGTAGGTGTCCAGGCCTGGGGGGAGGGGAGTAGGCTGCCCTCTCCTATCCCACCCCTCCGCTGGGGGCCCCAAAGCTGCAAGACAGAGAGTTCCCCGAAGTCAAGGGAATGGCAGAGGTTACCTGCTTCTTTCCCGCCTCCTGCCAGCCTTTTCATGCAGGACTCTGCCCAGTCACCAAGGCTGAGTCTGGGAGACAAGCCCCTTCACCCCCATGAGTCTGGGGCAGCAGCTCCTATGAGCACCCAGTTGTCCTTGGGCCTCAGGGCTCCGCACCCCCGGGGGTCCCCCGCTTAGGGAATCTAATGGCTCCTGCCTTGTGCCTACTGGAGGAAGTCCTGGAGTCCCCTCCCCAGTGCCAGCTGCTCAATGGCCGCGATTTCTGTCCCCGTTCCATCCCCACGGCATGCACTGGACGAGAAGGCCACATCCGGCTCACGTACTTTGGCCAGTGGTCTGAGGTTGAGCCCCAGTGCTGCAGGGAGGCTGTGGACGGCCTCTACAGTGCCCCAGGTAAGGGGGGAGTGGGGGGGGGCACGGGCCAGGGCCCTAGAGGCGTTGGGCCGGGTCGGGTTAGAATGAGCGAAGGGAAGACCCATCTTCTTGGGCAAGGTTGGGACATTCACGCCTGTGCTTTGCTCCCACAGAGGTGGGCGGGATTGCCGAGCTCACCGAGGCCTGTGACTGGTGGAGCTTTGGGTCTCTGCTGTACGAACTACTGACTGGCACGGTGAGTAGCTGCCAGGTGTGGGGCCCACGTGGGTGTCACCGAGTGCAGGGTGGCCTGCGCTTATTAGTGCCACCAGCTGTGTCCGGGCCGAGGCTGCCTTGTTCTCTGAATCCTGGATGCAGGATGCGTGTCCTGCCAGCACAGTTGCCCCCTCCCCAGCTGACCCCCCACAGGCCACAAGAGACACAGGGAGCCATGGCCACCCAGGCCATGACCACACTTGGTCCCCCCCACCCCCCACCATACTAGTGGCTGTAGTGGGTGGGACAGTTAGTGTTAGTGGGGGCAGTTTCTGGGGGTAGAATTAGACACAGCCCCTCTTCCCTGAAAGGTGCCTGCATCATCCCCTTGGCCGCTCCCCCCACTGCTCGCTTCCCATTCCCCACAGCCTTCTGGGCGGTGACCCCCACATTCTTGGGGTGTCCCTGATCCGGACCAGCATCTGTCCTGTCCAGCCCAGGTCAGCCAAGAGCTGAGAGCTTCCCCTGCAGACGCCCTTGCTCAGGATGGTGGCCTCTGGCCTGGCAAGCTCAGCACGGCCCCTGGGGTTGGTGAGGTCAGGCAGCAAGGAGAAGGCCCAACTGCATTTCAGCAGGAAGTGGCCAGAGGGGATGCAGTGTGACCCGAAGTCCAGGTCTCAACAGGCCACCATGGCTGCCTCCTGCTTGGCCCCTAGTCCGGGGCCTGTGGGAGCCCCGCAGCAAATCTCCCAAAGAGGGGCTCTTGTCCCCCGCCACCTCGCTGGCCTGGGGCTTCTTGCAGCTTACCCTGACCCCCAGACAGAAGTCCCCGCTTTCCAAAGATGCAGAGGCCCTGCCTCCCCTTCACTGCAGCCCTGCCCTGGCCTGCTGCCAAGTGAGGTTTGTTTCTGAAAGGAGACAAGTTCCAATGCTCTTCCTGAACACAGCGAAGTGCCTGTCCCTGAACGCAACCAAAGAGCAATGCCTCCTGCGAGTTTGGAGCCAGAGGGACCTGGGTTCAAACCCTGATCGCAGCATCTGTCCCTTTGCCTCTCTCAGCGGGCTTCTCTTCTTCAAAATGCAGATACTTGCTTTTGCTCTGAGGGTTGTGGGCAAGTCTGGAGAATGGCTGTTGGGCCCCCAGCGCAGTCTGGCACCCAGGGGAGCCAAAGGGGCGGGGGCAGCGGCGAGCCTCAGCATCACCACCCCGGCAGGATGCGGACACAGGGAAAAATCAAGTCCCGCTGCCGCCGGGGTGTGCAGACTTTCCTGGGATTGCCCCCTGAGAGCCCCCCCCCCCGTGTGTTCCCAGGCCGTGTCCCAGAGCCACCCCTCAGGCATCCAGCCCCACACCCAGCTGCAGCTGCCTGAGGAGCTCAGTGGCCCTGCAGCCTCCCTGCTGACCGAGGTGAGGTGGGCAGCTCGAGGGGTCCTCGCCTCTGTGGCTGAGGTGGGCCCCGGGAGGGCAGAGCCCCGCGTGTGCTCAGGAGTGCTGCGACGAGGTGGCCGTGCGGGTGCGGGTGGTCCCCGGTGCCTCCACGTTGGTGGTCAAACAGCACCGACGGTCCCCGGGGTAACATGGGGCGCTATGGCAGGGCTGGCCGGTGAGTCCCCGAGGCCATGGCGACGAGTCCCCGGAGGGCAGCCCGTGCCTCCGCAGTGGGGCTGGGCACCGACTGGGCCTTTCTCCGCAGCTTCTGCGGTTCGACCCCAGCCAGCGCCTGGGCACTGGCGGAGGCGGAGTCAGCAGACTCAAGGCCCACCCCTTTTTCGGTACTGTCCAGTGGAGCAAACTGGTGGGGTAAGAGGGGGTGGAGTGGGCGATGGAAGCGGCTGGACTGGCCCGGATCTCCTCTCTCCGCCTGTCACCCAGCCAGGCCCTCTGATCAGTGGCCCTCGGCGAAGAATGCAGGGCAGCTGCGCTTCCTGCTCCGCCCCTCCCTCAAGCCGCTTAAGTAATCATCGCCATGGCCCGGGCGGGGCATAGGGGTCTCCTAAGCAGCTCTTGGAGAAACCCTTTCTAGTCACTGCTGAGGGGGCAGGAAGAACAGGGCGGGCCTCTACCCTGTGGGGCAGCTTGGAGCCCTCCACCCGTCCATCCCCCAGCCACCGGCCAGCAGCACCTGTTGAGTGCACTTTGGACCTTGAATGCAGACCCAGCCCGGAGCGGTTAGAGGGCGCCTTCTGTCACAGTAGCTCTGGACTGCTGGCCACCTGCTGAGCCGACCTCAAAGTTTCTCATTACCTGCCATGTTGTGCCCCACAACACGGGGCATCTCTGGAGACTAACCTCGGGATACTGGTCCACAGGCGTAGTAGACTCAAACCAGGGCTGACTGGCTGGCATCTTAGCCGTGTAACTGGTGGGCCTCTTCTACCAGAGGCCACTCCTGCAGAGGCTGTGGAGGCGGGGGGGGGGGGGGGGGGGCTGGGCGGAAGTCTGCAGTGGGCATGAGGAAGGGGACTGGGTGGCCCGCTGCCCCTCTTGACCATGCCCACTAGCTTGTCATTTCAGACTTTAAAGAGCAAAGAGAAGGGGGTGGGGAGTAGGGATAAGGAGTGGGGAGAGGGTGGAATGCACACCCTTGCCAATCACGGCAATCTGTAAACAGGGCAGCCCCCCTCCCTGGCTAGCCCAAAGGGCACGGCGGGAGGGTCCTGCCCCACGGTTCTGAGAGGAGACCCCAATTCTGCCTCCAGGAGCATCTAAGTTGAACCCATTAGAATTCCCTCCTGGGGCATTCCTCCATTTACTATTTTGCGTTGTAGTCTTGAGTGTCCACTCAGTTCACTGCCTACTGTGACTTCATCCCCTTTTCAAATGAATCAACACACAGAATGATCGCCCAAGCTTTTAGCCAGAAGCAAGATGTTTCTGGTCTCTGAAAAGCTGGGGTAAGTAGCTACCCCCAAAGAGAATCCCCTCCTCAGGTTTGGGGGGACTCTTTATCCTCTCAGGTCTCACTTGTCATTGGGGTGTGGCACCTAAGAAACTTCCACCAGACCTCTGCCCCCAACTCCTTACCTCGTGTGTCAGCACCACCACCACCAGGTGGCACCCCTGACACTAATCTCCAGTCACTGCGTAGGTCCCACTCAAACCCAGGTGGTAGGGACCCATGTTTCCAGGGAGGGTGGTGTGACTCTGGGGCAGACACTGAGAAGCATGGCCTGGCATGGTCCTGGCTTCCCTGGGGCTTGCCCATGCCCCCAATAAAACCTGATGTCATTATCCATGCTGTTCTTGCCTCATTAATACAATGAGAGCCACCTTGTAGGGAGGGGGAGGAAGGCTCCCCCAGGGAAGCTCCCTGAGTTGACAGTGAACTTGAGTCCACTAATCAGTAGGAGGCAGGGCTGGTGATGGACTTTCATGCTAGCCTGTGCCCTCCAGAGCAGCTTTGAGCCCAAGGGGAAGTGCTAGCACTGGGGACACACACATGTACAGTCACTGGGCTTTGTGGCAAGTCAGTCTGGGAAGAGAGTCGTGACGCCTGGGAAGAAGAGTGTTAATCCTGGTGACCCGGGAGAGAGAGGGTGGTTCCTCTTCAAAGAGGTTAATGACAGGACCTGGTCAGAGCCTTCTGAAGCCTGTTTGAAAGGTGGTTCCTTCGGCTACACTCCCTAAGTCAGGCCAGACCGTCTGCTGCATCAACTAGGAGCCGCTTTTGGGACTTCTGGGCCTCATCCCCCGCACCACATGGCACTTGGCGAGACTGCATTTTGAACACTGTGGTCCCAGCCCTTACACGATGTACAGTCTGCATCCTGAAAAACCAGGGATACTCCTTCCACTGTGGTTTACTAGGGAAACTAAGCTCCTGGCACCAGGTCCTGGACCTAACAGAAAATCCTGAATTCCTTTCATTGAACCCAGTTTTTTCCCCTACCTACCAACTCTAGTTCTGCCCCTGGGAGCCACTGCGCTTCTGTGACAGACCCCCACCCAGAACGGCATCCCTGGCAGCAAGACCGGCAGGGAGGGGCCGTGTGGGAAAGAGTGGGCTGCATTCAGCCTGGAGACCACCATGCCTGCCTGCCGGAGGCAGTCCACTTTCTGATGCTCACTGACCTTGGGCACCTTGCTGTTCCTGTGACAATCCAGTCCAAAATGTGAAATTTTTAAGAGTTGCCCCACCTCTCCCCAATCCATTCCAGAAACAACGCAAGCCCCACAAAAACGCAAGGGTCGAAGAGGCTTCACAAAGGTGGAAACCAGTCTGTCCTCAAAGCTGGCTTGCCAGGCTTGAGGGGTTCATTGGAAGGAAGCCAGGACGCCGGCCTGCCTGGCAGACAGCCACAGTTCCATGTTCTGTCAGATTAGTGCTAATGTCCTTCAAAAGGCTGGCATGTGACAGAGTAACCAAAGGCATTTTGCAGCTTTGAACGCAGTCAGGACTGGGGACTCGCATGGCCCCTGTAGGAACGTGGCAGCAGCAGGAACCGTTTGAGAACATTTGCCCTTTAATTTGCATTTAAAATCAGTTTCTTTAAATATTTCAGTTACAAGTTCTGATAGTGAAGACATAGTAGATGCTGCAGGCACTCAGTACTGGCTCCCATCCCTTCCCTCCACCCCATCCCCCAGGCTTGCTCCTTCTCAAGGTACAAAAGGGCACTCTGCATTAAAATGGCTCCTGGTGTCAAGTATCAGCAGCCTCAGGCCTGAATGCAGTTGGACTCAAAGCAGTGAAGCCCAGTAGCTTTCGACAGGTAGCTTTCAACAAGACTCAAGACAAGACGGGTGGCATTTAACCACATTTCAAGAATCCCAGTGACTGTCCAGACCCGGCAGGCAGTACCTCCGAGGTGACATCGCTGTGTCTGTGTACTAGCGTCCGGGGGCTGGTTTCCACCACGGTCTGTCCTCCCCCAGACCTGTGTTCTGCAGAGGAAGAGCTAAGGCCCCCTTCCTAAGGGCCAGGATGCCGGAAGAAGCAGATCAGCCTCTTCAGTCCACGTGCTTACACCAATGGAATTAAAGACTCAAGTCCTGGGCCAGTGCACAGGCAGCCTCCCTCACTCGTCCCCCGCCCTCCCTTCACTGCTGAGATGTGCTGGAGTCAGCTCTAAATGAGAATGCTGCGCTGGAGTGCTTCCTAGCAACCTGGAGGGGATGACACAGCCACCCCCGTGCATGACTGGACCAGAATGGGTCTTCCTGGGGTGAGGCTATGACAGTCTGTGAGGGCAGGCCTGGGGCCTGTTCCCTCATGTACAACTTCTGACCTCAGGGAGAACCTGCCCTCTCCCCCTCGACACTGCCAACGCCCCAGACCCCTGGCCTGTGCTTCCTGGAAGAGGTAGAAGAGGCATCTTGAAGTCAATGACAGCTGAGAATGAAGGTGCATCGAAGCAGCAAAGCAGCACCTCTTGGCCAGTGGTCAGTAACCTCCACACAGGTGGAATCAGGTGAGAATGGCCCGGCCAGGACAGAGGCTGCTGTGAGCTTGGGAGGCACGGCACTCTCCTGGGCAGTGCTGGGAGAATACTCTTTCAAATGACTGAAACTTAATCACATGGTCCCCAGTGGTTTCCCTATAATATATATACTGGCACAGGGGAGAAGCAAAATTACCTCTGCAGAGGGCTAATGGAAGAGAGGCAGGCATATTAATGAGCATCCGTTCAGGCTCTTTCCCTCCCTCAAGCCTAAGGAAATAAGATATTCGAGTGTTGAGAGAGGGGAGCAGGGAGGGAGAGAGCCTGGTAGGAACACCAAGAAAAGACCTGCGAACTGCTGGTTGCAGAGTGCCCCGGCTCTCCTGCTGGAGGCCCGCAGCATGTGCCTGTCTGTCACCAGGCCACTGGGACCCATGTGGGGGTAGGGAGAAGTCTAATTTTCAGTTCCTGCGTGGTCAGTGCATCGGGTATGCGGCTTCCTCCTAAAGGTCCAGTAGGAGGACTCGGGGGTCCTCCACTGCTGCCTTGATTTTGCGAAGGAAAGTCACGGCCTCTCTGCCATCGATTAGCCGGTGATCATAGGTCAATGCCACGAACATCATGGGCCGCACCTCCACCTGCAGAGATGAGAGGTTCACAGATCTGTCTGCAGTGGAGCAGGAAAGCCCCGTGGAAGTGGGGAGATGAAAAAGAGCACAGCCCGTAAGAAAGCTCCCAGTTCCTTCTCTATTGCTGTTGCCTCTGGACACTTATGGCTTCAAGACCAAGCCCCTCCACTTCCTTCGCTTAGAAACAAGCACAGCCAAGCAAACAGGAGTCTCCTCACAAATGCCTTTTTAAACTCACTCTGCCCTCTACTCGTCTGTTTTCTACAGGAAAAGTTTCCCCTTCAGTTCTGGCTGCCATAGTTACTTCTTTAAGGTTATAACTTAAAAGTTATTTTTAAACCTAGGGTCTGCAAATTCTCTGAAATTGCATGCAAAGTTGTGTGTGAGCATTTTCAGGGGACAGCTATGATGTTCAGATTCACGAAGGAATCTAAACACAGCCCCAGAGAATGTTTTCCTCCCGACTTGGCTCCCAGGGCCGGCTCCACGTCCACTGACGTCCTTCCCCGGACTCCCAGAGAACCTCAGAGCCCCATCCCACACGCGGAAGCTCACGGACTGCGCTGCACGCTCGTTCTCTGTTTCCCAGGGGCAAGGACTGGGCCTCCAGGTGCATCCCTACTTACTCCCCGAAGCACCAGGAGAACGAAGCCCGAGGACTGTCCTGCATGAAGGGGCAAGCCTTCTTAGCTCAACCATCCTCACTTTAATGTGCCTCAAAATCATCTGTAGTTCCTGCTTCAACAGGTCTGTACGGGGGGGTCCAAGAATTTGCATTTCTAGTAAGTTCCCAGATGATGCTGACCCACACACCACAATCTGAGACCCAGCACCTTCGCTATTAATTAGAAACTAAGAGAAGAAACTTATGCCTGAAATTACAGTGACTCCTTTACACTTAGCATTGAGTTGGGTTTCCGTCTCATCGCTGAGCTGCTGGACACTGACAGGGATGTTCTTACCTTGCCTCCCACAGCCACCGGCCTGTCGAAGATCGCGTGCATGCCCAGGATGGCAGACTGCGGGGGGTTGATGATGGGTGTTCCAAAGAGGGAGCCAAAAACGCCTCCATTGCTAATGGTGAAAGTACCGCCGTCCATATCTTCAATGGCAAGTTCATTCTTTCGAGCCTGAAAACATATTTCATGATTGAAATGTAAGGTCATCTGAGCTTCTTCACCTAAAG